GTACATAGTTGATCACAGGCATCTAGACTATATTGAAAATGTACATTTTCTTAGAATCTGCATAACAGATATTTTTTTTATCATACAACCTTAATTTTATTTAGCATTAAGTTCAATAAAAAAACATTCTAAGCAAAATTCTTAAAATCAAAATTATTGTCCAATTTTTAAATTACGCTGTTGTTTTTTAGATTATTTAATTGGATAAAATAAGACAATCACACTCTATACACGGTACATACGTTTCTATTATATAAAATCTTATATAAATGCAAATCTATATCGTTCCATTTTACGCCTTCTAAAAGTAAACTTAGTGAATAGTATTGTCGAATAATAACATAATAAAAAGCTTTCTGTTATCGCACAATAATTTCTACTTTTAAAGAAATTAAAAAAAAACAATCATTAAACCTTACAAGTGATTTTTTATGTTCTTTTTTAACATTTTTTGTCAACCCATTTATTTAAAAGTGTTGTTATTATTTTATTACTTAAATTTACATATAACTTATGTTATTATAATGTTATAATATGTATTAACACTTTTAAATACCTTTTAGCACAAATGGAATTAAATCAAGATGGTTGTAATGAATTTGATTCTTTAAAAGGTAATTTTTAATTTAAAGACGCATTTCTATTCAGTTATTCGTTCAAATAATGTTTAAATTTTTTAGTTAAAAAACTTTCGAGAGATGTGCTTATTACTCTTGCTGACGAGTTACCGCGTGATTGGAAAACACTTGCTCGTTTCTTAAACATAAGTGATATAGAAATAGATAGAGTTTTACATGAGTGCAGTACAACCAGAGAACAAATATATCAGATTTTCAATAACTGGTGCATAAATAATCCAAACAAAAGTTGGAGGGTCATAAAATCTGGATTGGTTTTTTGTAAACGAAAAGATGTCATCTCTGAATGCGAAAAAAGTGAGTTTATTGTTTCTTAATTGTCTTCACTTTTTTCATGTTGTTGTTTGTAATGGAAACAATTTCAATTCATAAAATGAGGCTTTTAATTTCCTAAATTTAACCACTTTAAAACAAACTTTTTATAAACAATCACGGAGCCTTATATATATTGCGAGCCTATTAAGTGATTAATTAAAATTTTATAAAGTGATTTATGGCGAGTATTGAAAGAGCTATGAAAGTAAACAGAACGCCGTGAATGACTTATTTTAAAAACTCTCTTTGCTAATTCTCCATTTTATCAATTATGCTTCTAGATTAAATATTAACTTTATATTTAAAATTTAATTAATTCTAAAACAAAATATCAGGTCTTCGTTTTTGTTATCTTTTTTTTTTTTTTTTTTTCTTTTTCTTAAAGCATAACAAAATATTTTGTAAATAAAACTAATTTAAAAAAATATTAATTAAGTTTTCAAAAAACAAAAAAGTTAAAAAAGTAGTCATGAAAATAAAACTTAAATGAAAATATAATCCACTTACTTATAAATGTCAGAGCTGTTAGTCCTTGGCCTTGCTTTAAGGCTAAATTTTAAGGCCTTCGCCTGGACCTTGACTTTGAACATTTTTGCATTTGCTTTGGATATTAACGTTTTGGTATTGGTATTCCACTTTTTCTGGTTAAATTCCTTTTTTTTTTTTGTGTGTTTTTATATTAAAAAATTTACTACAGTTGATTTTGTTTAAAAGAGTTATTAGCTTTAACAGCTTTAGAACTTAATTTTGGATTTATGTCATCGTTTAAATTGCCATTTTTGACTAGCTATTTTAGAACAACAATCAATGACTAAGGATTGCGAATTCCCGGACTTTTTGCTTTACTTGGATAGCGGCAATTATTCGTAGTGTTCCCTGGAAAATTTTTGCAGCCTTTATTTAAATAAAATAGAAACAAGAAAAAAAAAATCTTTTTGCTTTATTTTTAAAACTACTTTTTTGAATTAATGTGATCTTTTATAAAAACCAGTGCATTCAGATAAATGTGTCAAATTCTAGTTCTAAATTTTGTGAAAAATTGAAAAAAAAACAAAAAAAACTTTTAAAACCTAGTGTTAAATAACAATGGTTACTTAAAACTAAGTTTTAAAAATAACAGCAACAAGTTGCGATTATATTCAAAACTTTAACTTTATTTTATTTTCATATTTATTAAACTGCACCCCACAACTAATGGCGTTTTAGTGATACACTTTTAAACAAAGAACGTTTAAATCTTTTTAAATGTGCTTACAATAAAGAGGTTATTAAAAAATGAAAAATAAATTTATTATTGATTCAGAAAAAATTAAGAAAAATCGGGTTCGCACTTATGATCCTCGACGACTTTTTTTTAAGACGAAAAAACAAGAGATTATCACATGATTAAATTATGCATAGGCCAGGTACCAGATGAGACGGACGGTTTTACCAAGATGGCCCCCAAATTTTTACAGAAAGTATTGGTAGTTGCGCTGTTTGACTTTACTCAGCACAACTGAGTACTTAAAACTCAATAATTGGGGAGTGCGTTTTTATCCCCAATTATTAAGTCTTGAGAGTGAATTTTAGCTCAGCATGAGTTTATTAACGCATTAGAAGCTCGTATTCACCGCCCAGAATAAAATACGGATGATATAACTAATTATCAAACAATAATGCCAAATGCATCTTTACTAACTGTCTTATCCCAGGCACTTACATGATTGCTGGCAATATAACATTCAAAACAGACAGTTCAGTTGAATATAACAATCAACTAATTATTGCTCCTGCTGGTGTTCCTCTAGGTGTAACAGATATAAACAAAATAAAAAGATCTATAAATCTAACGGAAACAAAAAAACCAACAAAAACAACAAAATTAACAGGAACAATAAAACTGACTCAACTGGTAAAAAAAATAATGATTACGCTGATCTAAACACCCAAAAAGAGGCGCTTACAAGTACTGCTATCGCTTATGGTATAAATAGTTAAAACTTATTATGCTATACAATATGAAAATCTCTTAAACAATTTAAGTATTAGACATAGATTGTTACTGATGAAGCAGACTTATAATACCGGTTTTCGAAATTCAATCCTGGTATAAACCGGTATTGCGCGACATATATAAAAAACATTAAAAAAATTTAGTCAAATCCGTAGAAAACTTTATGAAAAGAAAAAAGAAAATAGAAAAAGAAAATTTACACATTTTTCTCTTTCTATTTTAGTTTCTTTAACATTTTCTAAAATCTAAAAATTAAATGTATTATTTAAAATATTAAAAATATTTTACCAAAAAGTATTAACTCAATTATTTGACGTTTTAAAAAATACCATTTTAAAAATATTAATGCATTTAATATATCAAAATTCATTTGGCTTCAAAGCTTAATTGCAAACTAACCAGCAACCGAAAAAGTTCTTTGGCTGGATGTTAACGTGCAAATGTTGACGTGCAAATGTTGACGTGTAAATGTTGACGTGTAAATGTTGACGTGTAAATGTTGATGTGGCCTAAATTGTTTTGAGAGCAGCATCAATCTTATTTAAATTTGATCTTCGAACTCCATTTGCTTCAAACAGCTTAAACTCTCCTAATATCTCTAAAAATAGATCAGAACAACTAATCTTGGGTTGAAAAGAAGTCATCATTGTTACGGATTGTTGTAACTATGTTATAAGGTTATTATTGACTTCTTTAGTAACTTCTTCATTCGATGATTCGACATTGACACTATGCAGTAGCTTTTTAAGGGAATCTAGCATCACTACACTTAGGTTTGTCATTTTTTATTGGTTTAGTTTTGTTAACACGTTCACTGGTCAAAATAGTTGAATTATTCTTACTTAGCTCCTAAAAAGCCATTTAAATAGATTTTAACATCTTTAAAAAAATCTTCTTAAACTTTAAATTTGACTTCCCATAAAAACGTTATATTCCAATGTTCAAAAATTTTTAATTGCATAGTTTCAATTTTACGAATCTTCTAATCAAGGGAACCAAAAAGTTATATTGAGTTTTGATGTTAAGTTTAAGCATCAGTTTTTTATTTTCTTGTTCGTAAACATATTCTTGCATTATGGAGCTACAAAGGCGTGAGAATTTAAAAAATTTATTCAGGTTGCGTGAGTTATTCAATACAGACTTGATGTCGTCTCAAAATGTTCTGTTGCTGCTTCCATTAGTAAGTTTTTTAAATGTCATCATTAAAAATATTGCCTCGATTCAATCTCTGTAAATATCGCAGTCATTATAAGTAATATCTGAATCACTGATCTCTATAATAACTGGATAGCGCATCTCTAATATCAAAAGTGAAGCCAATATTTTGTACGGCCGCCATATTGGAAAGCCCCAGAATACCGAAAATACAGTGATTGCGCTTGAAGATGTACCTTTTTACTTCGTTTATATCTACTCGACCAAGTCACATATTTCAATGATAATATTATATTTAAAATGCTTGAAGGTGTAAAAATTATAAAAAGGAATCAAAAACACGCAAAACATTAACGACAAAGAGAAACATCGCTATAAAGAAATAATAAAATTTGTATTGCTTTCTATGAACTTGTTAAATTTATTGAATTCATGATATTCTAAATAAAACTTTTCTAAAAGACAAATTGATATTTGATCTGGGTAATTTTGGGTGTTTATTTTAACAACTTGATGCGACCTTACTTAGCAATAGTAGCTGGAAAGTAACTTTACAAGTATAAAACATGATAAAAACATTGTATCAAACATTTTTGTAAATGGTTTTCTAATTTTTGAAACTCTGAGGGCATGTTTATATTGTTTCACAACTGAAATATCATCAACTATGCAATACTTTATTAAAATTGATATCACTTAATAACAATGTTTTGTTCTGTTGCTTTGCTAACTTTAATTACACTTTGTGAAGGTTTGAAAAAGCCATCTCTAACTTTAAAAAACACTGGATATTTGGTGATAACTAGTTATTTGCAGTTTTAAATTAAAGTATTTAGTGTTTTAGACTAAATAACAGCATCGCATAGATGTTGATTGTTTATATGTAAATATGGTATAAATGAAAACAGACATAGTTTCTTTCAAGTTTTTTTACAACTATTGACTCTAAAGTAAAATAATAATGATTCAGCTAACATCTATCAGTTTTATACTGATAAATATTAGTTGTATAATTAATAAATATTTAAAATATCTCTTGTGAAAACAAATAAGCAACATAAAAGACCAAAATGAAAGGTGAACAATTTTTTTTCTAAGTGTACATACTTTTTTACTTTTCCCTACCACATAATACCTTTTTATTCAATGTTTATTTTGTTATTCAATGCTTATACAAGTTATTCAATGATTATTTTGTTCAAGATGATAGAGCTAACTATTATTTTCTTTATATTTTTTTACTTTAACATATTCTTTTGTAATTGCAATATCTTATACAAATAATCTGGTGTTGTGAAAATGTCTAATGGCATTTACAAAAATGTCTTGAAAGTATTTTTCGACAGTTAAGCGTTAAGTTAATTTTATATATATATATATATATATATATATATATATATATATATATATATATATATATATATATATATATATATATATATATATATATATACGCAAGAACAAAATTATTAAAAGAAAATATAAAGATTTGCTATATGTTGCCTAAGGAACCTTTAAGTTGTGTTACAATCACATTGCCTAACTAATGATTCATACAGCAAACTTGTAAGCTGTTTACCTTGCAAATATGTTACAAGCCTAAGGCATTTTGCAGAGGGCAATTAAGAATCAAAAGGTGCATACTAATATACACTTGCATGCTATTATAAAAATATTATACCAGGGTGGCCAACTAACTGGAAATCATGGAAAAGTCAGGGAATTTTTTTTTAGTTAGGAAAATCAGGGGAAAATGTATTTTTTGAAAATTTAATTTTTTTTAAAGGTTTTTTTTTACTTACTCCCAAACAACAAAACTTAAAAATTCACACTTCAAAATATAACTGAGTCAGGGAAAAATATAAAAAGTCAGGGAATTTAATTCTTGAAAGTGGCTGGCCACCCTGTATACATAATTTATATATATATATATATATATATATATATATATATATATATATATATATATATATATATATATATATATATATATATATATATATATATATATATATATATATATATATATATATATATATATATATATATATATTTATGTCACTCTCCATGAAATAATCTGAACATATAACATCAGATTTACTCGGTTTTTAATAATCAATGCATTTATAAGGTTTTTGCATTTTTTATTTATCAAGCGAAATCTGTGTTTTAAGCGCATATAAGTTTAACGCAACTACGGATTTATAAATTCTGGGGCTTTCCAATATGGCGTCTTTTGGCTTCAAAAATTTCGAAATTTTATTAGGAGATGCGCTATCCAGTTATTATAGAGATCAGTGATCTGAATCATTATCTTCTTTCAAAATTAAATTAAAAAGAAGTCTTTCGGAACGGTTTGCATTAACAAATTAATCGGCATATTTTTCTTTTAATTCGTCACTCGAACATGTTCTACCTTATCTGGTAATAATACGATGGTTTAAGTTGCTCTCACTGTGAGCAGCGCCTCGGTTTTTCCCTGTGATGTGGGAGCAGTCACGGACTATTGTTAACAAGTTTTTTACCAGAAATAAAACACTTAACAGCTTTTGTAATCAAATCTTCTGGATTCCTGAAAACCTTGTTTATTACTTCCAACTCAGTTTGAAGGCTAGCCGAAAATTCTCGACTGCATTCTCGCCACGATATAAATTTGAAGCTTCAGCAAATCGAACTTTTATACAACAATATTCATCACTTTGAACTTTTATATAATAAAAATAACTTCAAGGTGTCTGTTTTGTAATCAAGCAAATAAAACTCTTATCTGGATATTCATAAATACCTTCTTCTGGACTACTAAGGTATACGAAGTCTGCGTAAATGATATAAGACACTCGCATTTGCTTAAAATTGTCTCTTTTCTATCTAATCTCTATCTTTTCCACCGATTCCCAAGCAGTATTCTTTATGATTCTTCAGTAAGCCCGAGAGAATATATCTACAACAATGGAATTTTGTTGCCTTATAATTACTATTATAATAACACATACCAGCTAAATTTTTTTAAAGAACAAATATAACTTTATAATATTTCATAAACTTAATATTTAAATTTTTTCAAATATAACTTAACACACCAACAGTTGAGTATATGTTATTGAGAAGTTTAAGCCTAAACTTTTGACAACGAAAATGATATTACACATATTTTAATTGCGACAATAAAATGTATTTTTATTATAGAACTAACCGTACGTTCAATAATTGGTATTCAAATTTCTTCAGAAAATTTCTTTTTACGCGAAAAGTTAATTAGTGAAATTCATCATTATTTATCACAAGATACAAAAAACACTTTAGTTTTGTATGGAATGTCAGGTGTCGGAAAAACACATATTGCCAGAAAATATTGTGAAACTTTTTACAACTTCTATGAAAATTTTGTTTGGATAGATGCTGGATTTGAAAAGTTACAAACTTCAATGCATAATCTTTGTCAAATATTAGGAATTAATAGTCATGATTCGAGAGGTGAATACTTTAATATGGAAGTGATTGTTGAAAAAATTCACAACTATTATAAAAATGAAAAGACTTTGTACATTTTTGATAATGTTGACGACGAAAGTGTTAAAAATTTTAAAATGTATATTTCAAGCAAACAAAATTCATTTATTTTGATTACTTCACAATGGAGGACGTGGTCGAACAATGTAAACAAAATGCTTGTTGATGCTTTCTCTTCGGAAGAAGCCTACGTTTATGTAAAGAATAATCTTAAAGGTAACGCTGATGAAAGCATAAGAAACTTAATTAAAGAACTTGGTTATCATCCGTTTGCTATTACTCAAGCTATAAAGTATATAAATATACATAAAGTTTCGATAGAAAAATATATAAATCGATATAGATCAAAACCCTTAGAAGTATTAGACACTGATATCTTCCCAACCGAAGAAGAAACAAAGTCTGCAATAAAAGCAATTAATTTAGTTTTATTAAAATTAGAGAAAGAAAAAACTATTCCATTTGAAATATTAAACTGTTTATCTCATTGCGACGGTCAAAATATCAGTAAACAATTTATAACTCAAATCTCAAGTCACATGAAAAGAAACGAAGAATACTTAATAGATGAAGCTATTGGATTACTAATTAGTTATTCTTTATTAAATTCGCTTGGTAATGAGATATATTCAATGCACGAACTGACACAATTGTCATGTAAATGTTTTCAAAGTAGAAATTCAACTATAAATAATTATCTTGATCTAATCCAAAATTATTTTAAATTTCAGTTGAGCGAAGTAAAAGATCACAGGGATTACGGAACTTTTTTTGTTTTTCACTTTCTCCATGTTTTTCGTATCAATAACAAGCAAATGTCAAAAACTTTCTATCAAATGACAACTTCTATTAAAAAGTTATTGTTATGTAAAGGTTTATTTATAGAAGCAATCGAAATTTTAACAGCTATTCAAAAATATAATACAAAATCTTATGGGGAAAATCATGAATTTACGTTTGATACAAAACTAAACATCGCAAGCTGTTTGTACGAAATGGGAAAATATAGCGAAGCTTTAGATATTTATTATTCTGTAGAGAAAATACGAGCTGAAAATTTAGGTATCAACCATCCAGATACACTGGCAACAAAACATAATATTGCAAGCTGTTTGTACAGTATGGGAAAATATAACAAAGCTTTAGAGAGTTATTGTTCTGTTGAGAAAATACGTACTGAAATTTTAGGTATAAAACATCCAGATACAATGAGAACTAAACATAATATTGCAAACTGTTTGAAACATATGGGAAAATATAACGAAGCTTTAGAAATTTATTATTCTGTTAATGAAGTAGATACTGAAGTTTTAGGTATCAACCATCCGGACACAATGATATCAAAACATAGTATCGCAAACTGTTTGAATATTATAGGGAAACATAACGAAGCTCTAGAAATTTATTATTCCGTTGAGAAAACACAAACTGAAACATTAGGTATCAACCATCCAAATACAATGACAACAAAACATAATATCGCAAACTGTTTAAACAATATGGGAAAACATAACACAGCTTTAGTTAATTATTTTTCTGTTGAGAAAATGCAAACTGAAATTTTAGGTATCAACCATCCAAATACAATGACAACAAAACATAATATTGCAAGCTGTTTGTACAATATAGGAAAATATAACAAAGCTCTGAAAATTTATTGTTCTGTTGAAAAAATACGTACTGAAATTTTAGGTATAAACCATCTAGATACAATGAGAACTAAACATAATATCGCAAACTGTTTGAAAAATATGGGAAAATATAACGAAGCTTTAGAAATTTATTATTCTGTTAATAAAATAGATACTGAAGTTTTAGGTATCAACCATCCGGACACAATGGTAACAAAACATAATATTGCAAACTGTTTAAACAATATGGGGAAATATAACGAAGCTTTAGAAATTTATTATTGTGTTGAGAAAACACAAACTGAAATTTTAGGAATATACCATCCAAATACAATAATAACAAAACAAAACATTGCAAACTGTTTAAACAATATGGGAAAATATAAAGAAGCTTTAGAAATTTATTATTCTGTTGCGAAAATACAATCTGAAATTTTAAGTATCAACCATCCAAAAACAATGACAAGAACACAATTTATCGCAAACGATTTGCATGAGTTCAAGGAACGTAAAATAAAATTAAGATTAAAATCAAAACGTAAAGTTACAGTTGATAATGTGGAAATATTATTATATAAGAAATCAAGTATTTGTGGATTAAATAGCATTCTGTTAAAGAAAATTTCAGATGAAGGTATCAATCATCCAGATACGAAGATAATATCGTATCTGAATGATTCTAATACCGCAAACTGTTTCGACCTGTGTTATAATTCTAACGGTATTATAGAAACTGAACTTTTAGATATCAACTATCCGCATACAACGATAACAAATAATTATATCGCAAGCCGTTTGGAAAATAGGGAAAAAAATAGCGAAACTTTAGAGAGTTGCTTTTATGATGAGAAAATACGAACTGAAATTTTAGATATTAATCATCCAGATACCATGATAACAAAGCATAATATTGCAAATTGTTTAAACAATATGGGAAAATTTAACGAAGCTTTAGAAATTTATTATTCAATTGAGAAAATGCAAACTAAAATTTTAGGTATCAACCATCCAAATATAATGATAACAAAACTTAATATCGCAAACTGTTTGAACAATATGGGTAAATATAACGAAGCTTTAGAAATTTATTATTCTGCTGAGATAATACAATATTGCATAACTAATGAAACTATGCAATGTATCAACCATCCAGATACAATAAGAACAAAATATAATATCGCAAACTGTTTGGACGTTATGGGAAAATATAACAAATCTTTAGAAATTTATTATTCTGTTGATAAAATAGAAACTGAAATTTTAGATATCGAACATCAGGATACAATGAGAAAAAAGCATAATATTGCAGGCTATTTGAAAAATATGGGAATCTATAACGAAACTTTAGAGAGCTGCTTTTCTGTTATAAAAATACGATCTGAAATTTTAGGTATCAATCATCCAGATACAATGATAACAAAACATAACATCGCAAATTGTTTGAGCAATGTGGGAAAGTATAACAAAGCTTTAGAAATTTATTATTCTGTTAAGAAAATTCAAACTGAAATTTTAGGTAAATACCATCCAAATACAATGGTAACAAGACATAACATCGCAAACTGTTTGTACTATATGGGAAAATATAACGAAGCTTTTGAAAGTTATTGTTCTGTTGAGAAAAGACAAATTGAAATTTTAGGTATAAACCATCTAGATACAATGAGAACAAAATATAATATTGCGAACTGTTTAAAACATTTGGAAAAATATTACGAAGCTTTAAAAATTTATTATTCTGTTGAGAAAATTCAAACTGAAATTTTAGGTACCAACCATACAGATGCAATAAAAACAAAACATAATATCGCAAACTGTTTGCGTGATATGGGAAAATATAAGAAAGCGTTAGCAGTTTATTATTCTGTTGAGAAAATACGAACTGAATATTTAGGTATCAACCATCCGGATACAATGAAAACAAAACATAATATCGCATGTTGTTTGAAATATATGGAAAAATTTAACGAAGCTTTAGAAATTTATTATTCTGTTGAGAAAATTCAAACTGAAATTTTAGGTATTAATCATTCAGATGCAATAAAAACAAAAAATAATATCGCAAACTGTTTGCGCGATATGGGAAAATATATCGAAGCTTTAGCAATTTATTATTCTGTTGAGAAAATTCAAACTGAAATTTTAGGTATCAACCATCCGGATACAATGAGAACAAAACATAACATTACATTCTGCAAATTATATAAAAAACAAAAACTTTGTTCAATTATTTAATTGATAATTTACATTTTTTTTTCTTTTAAAGAATAAAACTTAATAACATCGCAAACTGTTTGAAAAATGTGAAAAAATATAACGAAGCTTTAGAAATTTGCTATTCTGTTAATAAAATAGATACTGAAATTTTAGGTATCAATCATCCGGACACAATGATAACAAAATATAATATGGCAAACTGTTTAAACAGTATGGGAAAATATAACAAAGCTTTAGAAAATTATTATTGTGTTGAGAAAATACAAACTGAAATTTTAGATATATACTATCCAAATACAATGATAACAATACAGTTTGTCGCAAACAATTTGCATGAATTCAGGAAATATAAAAATGCTATTAAAATTATTTTTCCTGCTTTGAAAACACAATCTTTAAACTTTGGTATCAACCATCCAGATACAATAAAAACAAAACATAATGTCGCAAATTGTTTGGACAATATAGAAAAATATGACAAAGCTTCAGAAAATTATTATTCTGTTGATAAAAGAGAAACTGAATATTTAGATATCAACCATTCTGATACAAAGATAACAAAGTATAATATCGCAAGCTGTTTAAAAAATAGGGGAAAATATGACTAAACTTTAGAGAGTTGATTTTCTGTTGAGAAAGTACGAACTGAAATTTTAGGTCTCAACCATTCGATTACTTTGACAACAAAACTTAATATCGTAAGTTGTTTGAAAAATATGGGAAAATATAACGAAGCTTTAGCGATTCATAATTTTGTTGAGAAAATACGAATTGAAGTTTTAGGTATCAACCATCCGGATACAATGAGAACAAAACATAAAATCGCAAACTGTATAAAAAATATGGGAGAATATAACGATGCTTCAGGAATTAATTATTCTGTTGAGAAAATACGAACTGAATTTTCAGGTATCAACCATCCGGATACAAAGAGAGCAAAACATAATATTACATTCTGTTTTAGCAAATTATTCTGTTTTAGCAAATTAACAACAAAACATAATATCGTAAGTTGTTTGAAAACTATGGGAAAATATAACAAAGCTTTAGCGATTCTTAATTCTGTTGAGAAAATACGAATTGAAGTTTTAGGTATCAACCATCCGAATACAATGAGAACAAAACATAATATTACATTCTGTTTTAGCAAATTATATAAAAAGCAAAAGCTTTGTATAATTATTTAATTGATATTTTACATTTTTTTTTTACTTTTAAAGAATAAAAATGAATATCATGTTCCTTCTTATATAAGTGTGTGTCGAAAAACTTTTTAACATTGTTATTATCAAATTTTTTTTATTTATTATAGTATTAAACATTTTTTTTATTAAAAGTGGATAATTTATTACTATAATAATGTTATCAATAACTTGTTTCTTTTTCTTTAAATATTATGTATTTTTTTCATTATAAATTGAAAGATGAATTTAATTTAAGGTCAATATCTTCTTTATAAAAAGAAATAAAAGTTTAATACTGTTTAAAAGCATATATTGAAGAGAGTAGCCTATATTTCGGACAATGCTTTAATTGGAACACCTGCATTTAATTTTGAAAAAAATGAATTTAGCATTTTTTTAATAAAAGGTCTTGTTTTTTATGTTTCAACACATATTAAATTATATTTCTCAAAAAGTGCATGTGCATCATTGATTTAAAGTTTTTTTGCCTCATTTTTTTTTTGGTGATCTAATTTTGTGTTTACACTACCTTGATTGCGCTTGGTAAACTATATTGCTTTAGGGGTAAAAATTTGTCAAAAACACAAAAAAACACTTTTCGAACCAATTTTGTTTTAGCCTTATATTTACTTGAGGAATTATTGATTTTTAATATAGACACCAAGTTTTTTAATATTTTTTAAATTAGACATTTAATATAACCCCACCTTTTACCAATCAATCAAATTAGAAACTAAAAGTTTAGTGACTTTATTATCTTTTTCATTTTCATCTGGTGCTTACAACAAAATTTAAACGTATACAATTTTTTTTTTTTAAATACTAAATTTTAGTGATTTTATATATGCTTTACATTCATATTATTTACAAGTTGGTTCTTAAAACATAATATTTAAAAAAAGAATGGGTGAGACATAATCGAGTCATAAATATCTCTACTTCCTTAGGAAAATAAAGTCCTCTTCGGCTAATTAGTAGCAAAGTCTTCTTTTTGTTATCGGTACCTCAAGTTTGCAAATTATGTGAACATCAGGAATCCATCATTGGCTTTCCTTTGGTGGCCATTTAAACAACCGTGCAGGACCATTAGGACACATAACTTTTGTAAGCACATCTTTTTCTTCTAAATTAATATCTTCAATGACTCCTATCCACCACTTTTGCTCATTTTTTTAGATATGTCTTAAATGACGTAGAAGTTGGTATATTTTGATTACGAGACTAACCCATATATGAGTTTTTTCCGGAAATTCCCGGATTTCCGGAAATTCACATAAACACCTTTAATTTTTCCAGGAACTTCCGGATGTTTTTTGATATTGATTTGAAAAAAAATTAATATATTTTTACATAAAATTTTACATACGACAACTTTTGCATTTAAACAAATATGTTTTCTATAATTAAAATTTTCACAAGATCGATTTTCGTAACAATTTTTTTTTCTTCATTTTTTTTGCTTTTTAATTCATTCAAACTTTTTAGAATATTAGAAATTCCTTATTATAAAAAGTTAATATAAATTCCGTTTTAAAATAATCTAAATTCCGTTTGTCTGTTAAATGCGATTAATTTTTAATAAAACAATTTTCTGGGATTTTCCGGGATTATCAAAGAAAAAAAATTTCCGGACTTTTCATCAAGTTAAATACTCATCTAAGGACTAACCCCAACATTTGTAAAGTATTTATTAAACTATTATATTATTTATTATACCAGCCGCAACTTCAACGCGATCGGACGTGTTTTTTTCAAACGACTTTATTAAAGCGAAATTATTTTACATTTATTTTTATAAAATACAAATCTTTTTTTTTTATAATATGGCTGTTACATTATTAGAAATAACAAAATTGTTTGAGGACTACAAAAAAGAATTTGAGTTGATGTTAAAACAACAAGAAAAAGTTTTTATTGATATTATTAGTGGAAACTTGAAAATATTTAATGGCAGGTTGGTAAAAGGTTGGAAGATCGATCTAGACGTAACAATTTAAGAGTAGGTGGAATTGATGAAAATGAAGGTGAAAGCTGGGAAGAAAGCGAAATGAAGGTAAAAAAATTTTTTGAAGATTTATTATCAGTTAAAAATGTCCAAATTGAACGGGCCCATAGAACTGGAAACAAAAAATTAAAAATGCCGAGGACAATAGTAATAAAACTTTTAGATTTTAGAGATAAAGTCGCGATCTTGAGCAAGTCGAGTAAGCTAAAAGGGAAAAACATTTATATAAACGAAGACTTCTGTTTTGAAAAAACACAAATCAGAAAAAATTTGAGGGAGAAAATGAAAATTGAACGAGCCGCTGGTAAGTTTGCCTTCATATCTTATGATAAATTGATAATTCGCGATTGGGTTGCAAAGAAAAGCAAAAATTTATCTTCATAATATTTGGCATTAATTAACGCAATTTTATTTTTATTATTACTATGCATATTTAATTAAACTGTTTTAAAAATGGAGGAAAATGTCATATTTAAATCTTCTAATGAAAATGACATCATCGGTGATAATGACACCGACTAATTATTTTAATCACAAAATGCTAGAAAGTCAATACTACTCAGTTTCTGAATCTTTGCAATATCTAGGACAAACGAAAAACACTTTTTCAATTTTAAATATCAATATTCGAAGTTTAAATAAAAACTTTGAAAATTTAAAAATTTTTATTGGATAAAATTAAACACGATTTTAAAATTATATGTTTGACGGAAACTTGGTGTAAATGCGGTGAAACAAATTATGAATTTGAACTAGTTAATTACACATCAATTCACCAACCGCGTGAAGTTAATGCGGGCGGGGGTGTTAGTATTTTTATCCATAATTCAGTTAATTATATTTTACGTAACGATCTCTGCGTCAATGAAACAGATTATGAATCATTGTGCGTCGAATTAGTAAATAATAAAGAAAAAAACATAATTATAAATACTACATATAGACCACCATCTGGAAACTTAAAGAAATTTAAAACTCATCTTAAAACATTTCTAAACAAAATTACAAATTCGAGAAAACATATTTATTTGGTGGGGTATTTTAACATTAACCTGATCAACTATGCTTCAAATAATAATACTAAGAATTTTATAAATACTCTTCTACAATATAACTTTATCCCAACAATAAACAAACCAACAAGAATAACAAATAGGTCTTCTACTCTACTTGATAACATCATAACTAACAATTTTTATAATAACCCTCTTTACACAGGTATAATCCAGACCGATTTATCGGATCATTTTCCTACATTCTTAGCTACAAATAACATTTTAATTAACAATATTTCCACAAAATCCATAATAATTCGACGACAGATTAATGAAAACTCCTTAAAACAATTTAAAAATTGTTTAAAAAATTGTGTTGATTGGAATCTAGTACTGCAATCAAATGAGGCTAACAATGCATATGACTTGTTTCTTAATCAATTTTGCAAACAATATGAAATAGCGTTTCCAGAAATAAAAAAAGTCATAAATACCAAGTCACTTCAAGCTCCCTGGATGTCTAAAGGCTTACTAAAATCTTCAAAAAAGAAAGAAAAATTATATATAAAATATCTTAAAAAAAAAACTTATAAAAATGAAACAACTTACAAAAATTATAAAAATGTATTTGAAAAAACCAAAAAATACTCAAAAAAACTATTTTATGATCAATTATTAAAGAAAACCAACGGAAACACTAAAAAAATATGGAATTTAATTAAGGATTTAATTGGAAAAAATAATTATAACAAAAGCACTCTGCCAAAAAATCTTTTAATTAATGGAGAATTAGTTTATGAAAAATCAATTATAGCTGAAGAACTAAACAACTACTTTGTTTATTTCTACTAATTCCATTCCATTTGATTCATACTTAAAAACTTATGATAAACTTATGGATGAAACTGATTTAAAACTGAGTGAGTTGAGAACTGCATTTAGCAGTCTCAAAAGTAAAAAAAGTGAAGGTTTTGATAAAATTAGTGTTGATGTTGTCAAATCAGTATTTGAAGTCATTGAACCTTCTTTATTTCACATTTTCAATCTCTCATTAAAGTCAGGTATTGTTCCTAATAAATTAAAAATTGCCCGTATAACACCAATTTTTAAATCTGGAGATAAGTCAAATATTTTAAATTACAGGCCTATATCAATCTTACCTTGTTTTTCAAAATTGCTAGAGAGAATAATGTATAACAGACTTTATAATCATCTAACTGAGAACGACATGTTGTATTGTAAACAATTTGGTTTAAAAAAAAAAAATTCCACTGAACACGCAGTAGTTGAACTTTCCAATCAAATATCTAATGCCTTAGATAATGACTGTTTTACATTAGGAGTTTTCATTGATCTGTCAAAAGCTTTTGCTACCGTAAATCACTATATACTAATAAAAAAACTCGAAAACTACGGTGTAAAAA